CCTCCTCCCTGGTCTGAGCTGGATTATAGAACAGTCAACCTGAACAACCACCTGAGGAGTAGCTGGATAGAAGTCTTTAACCAGGGATTCACAGGAGAAGCCTCGCTGAGACTGGTAGGAAGGGAGGAGGCATGGAAGGAATTGGCCCTGCACCCATGTGCAGCAGCTGAGAATTCGGGGGGATAACCTGGCTGCCAAGGTTCCCCCTAAGGAACATGGAGTCTCAACCCCACACCGGGTTCCTCAGCCCCGAACACTGGAGCCAAGAAGAGGAGCCCATACAACAGCTGGCTGTGAAGATCAGTAGGGATTCTGTCCGCCAGGGAAAGATGGGAGTCTGCTAGAAACCCAGGCACCCTCTTAAAGGCTTCATTGCACAAAATCTCATGTGCACCCACTCACCTTGCGCCGTGGCAGAGGGAGGGAAGATCAGAGAAGACTGGAGACGTGCTAGGATAGACTGGATTGTGTGGCTCTTGGGAGAGTGCTGAAGGGACAGCCACCAGGGTCCCTGTGCTGAGTCCCTCTCCCGCACCACCCGCAGATGCCGCCTTTGCTGGGTTGAGCGTTCCCTCCACATGGCATCAACCTAGTGAAATGCAGCAGCCCCACCCTCCCGACTCTGTGGAGGAGTCTGCTCCTGGAACCTCTGGTGTCGACTTGGGATGTTGGGGGCAAACACAGCGGGAGTCCGAGACTGAGTTGTGTGGCTCCAGGGGAGGGGCTGTTTTTCTCTCACACACCCAACTGGAGCCACTATTCCTGTGCAGAGCCCTCCCTCCACATGGCCAAATCTTGGTCTGTTTGGGCCTGATGAACTCTGCTGGTCTCACTCTGATGACTCCTTGAGACCCTGGTGGGTGGTGACTGACCTAGGTGTGCCCCAAGACTGTTGCTGAGTGGCCCCAGACCCAGCACTGGTGCTGAGTTTGAATCTGTATTAATCTGATGAACGCTACTCACCCCTGCCCAGTGGCTCACTGAGAACCTACCTCATACAACTCACATGTCACCAGAGGCTCTTTCAGTGACTGAACCTAACAGGCAGCAAGCAGGTGGAGGAGCATCTCAGCCTTGGGCCTTTTGCTGGTCTTCCCCAGGTTCAGTGCTAGTGGACACCAGCCTTGGTGTGCAACTTGGCCCCTTCCATGCACACCTAGGCCCAGCAGAGGCAAACTGTGGATTGCTTTGTAGCTCCAAACAGGTAGCTCAGGGCCAGTCACAGGCAGTACCTGACATTGATCTGCACGAGAACCCCTCCCAAGTTTCCCCAGAAGCAACACACCCGGTGGCAAGCTTTAGACTATGTCAGAGCAGGATTCAATTACCTCCACAAGTGACATACCCAAAGGGAGATCTGGGCAGCCACCAGACGCTGTTGGAGTGGATTCTGCTTCATGGAGTCAGCCCCTGTGCAGTAGCTCATGCAATGCTATCAGGGTCAATCCTTGTAACTAGCCAGAGGGGAACCCTCACCCACGGGCAGGCCAACAGCAATGAAGACTCAACTACAACAGGAGGGCTCCCGTCACCCACACAAGGAGCATGCCTGGAGCAGCTAGCTCAGGTGATCAGGCAGCCTGGCACTGGACCCTACAGGGCACCTACTACATAAGGCCACCATACCAAGACATGGAGGCATAGCAGGTCTACCTAATGCACAGGAAAAATACAGAGGGGGAGACAAAATGGGGAGACAAACATGCCCCAAATGAAAGGACAGGAGAAATCCCCAGAAAAAGAACTAAATGAAATGGAGGCAAACAGGCTACCAGGAAGAAGGTTTAAAACAGTGCTTATAAGGTTGCTCAGGGAACTAGGGGAAGAATGGATGAACTCACTGAGAACTTAAAGGGATAGTAAACATAAAAAGGACATAAAGACCATTAAAAAGAAACAGTCAGAAACGATGCGGACAGTATCTGAAGTGAAGAAGGCACTAGAAGGAGTCAACAGCAGGCTAGAAGAAGCAAAGGACTGAATCAGTGATTCAAAAGACAAGATAGCAGAAAACACCCAATAGGGCAGCAAAAAGAAAAAAAGAATTTTAAAAAAGGAGTATAGTTTCAGAAAACTCTGGGACAACGTGAAGTGTATCAATACCGACATCCAGGGGGTACCAGAAGAAGAGAGAGAGCAAAGGATTGAGAAACTATTAGAAGAAATAATGATGGAAAACTTCTCTGACTTGGTGAAGGAAAAACTCACATGTCCAGGAAACACAGAGTCCCAAACAAGATGAATTGAAAGAGGCCTTCTCCAAGACACATAATTAAAAAGACAAAGGTTAAAGACAAAGGCAGAATCTTAAAAGCAGCAAGAGAAAAATGGTTAGTTACCTACAAGGGAGCTCCCATAAGACTGTCAGCTTATTTCTCAACAGAAACATTTCAGGCCAGAAGGGATTGCAGTGAAATATTCAAAGTGATGAAAAGCAAAGACCTACAACCAAGACAACTCTATGCAGCAAGGCTATCATTTAAAACTGAAGGAGAAATAAAGAGCTTTCTAGACCAGAAAAAGCTGGTAAGTTCATTACCACCAAACCAATTTTGCAACAAATGTTAAAGAGTCTTCTTTAAGAAGAAGAAAGAAAACAAGAGGAACATAGTTATAAAGAATAAAGTGGCCATAAATACATGTCTATCAATAATCATTTTAAATGTAAATGGATTAAATGTCCCAATCAAAATATATAAAGTAGCTGAATGGATAAGAAAACAAGACCCGTGTGTGTGTGTGTGTGTGTGTGTGTGTGTGTGTGTGTGCTGTCTATAAGAGACCCACTACAAATGAAAGATAGAGACTAAAAGTAAAGGTATGAAAAAATATTTCATGCAAATGGAAATGAAAAGAAGCTAGGGTAGCAATACTCAGAAAAAAACAGACTTTAAAAGAAAGGCTATAACAAGAGACAAAGAAGAGTATTACATGATGATAAAGGGACCAATCCAACAGGAGGGTATAACCCTTGTACACAATTATGCACACAACTTAGGAGCAACTAAAGATCTAAAGCAAGTCTTGATGGACATAAAGGGAGAAACTGACAGTAATACAGTCATAGTAGGGGATTTTAAGACCCCACTGACATCAATGGATAGATCTTTCAGACAAAAAATCAACAAGGAAACAGTGGTTTTCCATGACACACTGGACGAGATGAATTTAATTGATATTTTCAGAGCATTTTACCCCAAGAACATACATTATTTTAAATCAGCAGAATATACATTATTTTAAAGGGCACATGAAACATTTTGTAGATAGACTATGTGTTAGGACACAAAACAGGCCTCAATAAATTCAAGAAGATTGAAATCATATCAGGCATCATCTCTGACCACAGGGCTACGAAACTAGAAATCACACACCACTGTCAAGTGAGATGCATTCCTGGGACGCAAGATTGGTACAATATCCACAATTCAGTTTATGAGATACACCACATAAACAAAAGGAGGGATAGAAATCACATGATCATATCAATAGATGCAGAAAAAGCATTTGATAAAATCCAGCACCAATTTATGATGTAAAACTCTCAGTGGGAATAGAAGTAACATACAGTCTCATAATAAAGGCCGTACATGACAAACCTGTGGCCAACATCATATTCAACAAGGAAAGACCAAAAGCTTCTCCCTTAACACCAGGAACAAGGCAGGGATGTCTGCTTTCACCACTGTTGTTCAACACAGTACTGGAAGTCCTGGCCACAGCAGTCAGAGAAGAAGAAGAAATAAAGGGCATCCAGATTAGAAAGGAAGAAGTAAAACTGTCATTATTTGCAGAGGTGACATGACATTGTACATAGAAAGCCCAAAGATTGCATCAAAGAAACTAGAACTGATCAATGTAGTAGGGTGGAAAATTAATATTCAGAAATTGGTTGCATTTCTATATACCAATAATGATCTATTGGAAAGAGAAACTAAGAAAACAATCCCATTTACAACTGCAGCAAAAATACCTAGAAATAAGTTTAACCATGAAGGGAAAAGATCTGTACTTGGAGAATGATGAGACACTAAAGAAAGGAATTGAAGAAGATACAAACAAATAGAAGCACATACCATGTTCATGGATAGGAAGAATTAACATCATTAAAATGTCTATACTAACCAATGCTATTTATAGATTTTTAATTGGATTGTTTGATTTTTTTGGTGTTGAGTAGCATGAGTTCTTTATAAATTTTGGATGTTAACCTCTAATCAGAGGTATCATTGGTGATTATCTTCTCCCATGTGTTCTGTGGATGGTTTTGTTGCCGTGCAAAGGAAATAGTCGCCCATTCTCCTTATCCGTGGTAGTGACGTTGTTCTATGAAGTCACTGCGAACCCAGACGGAGCGGATGCTGAGCCACTGCCCCCAGGAGAAAGACCAGGGCAGGCTCCTGCCAGCCTCCGGTCACAACGTTTTTGGCAAAATAGCAATAGATAGCCTTGTTGGTTTTTTTTTTTTTAAGAGACATCTTAATTAATACATGTTATTGACTAATTAACATCGAACCCATGGCCAGCAGCACTATAACTCATGCTTAAATGAAGCTTACCTAACATCCGTATTTTCCCTGTAGGGCACGGCACAGCCTTCTCGTGCGCAGGGATACCAGACCACATTTCAGCACTGTGCCTGCGGGCCATTTTAACAGTGGGATCACCAACCAAAAAAACAAACCAAAAATATGTGCAAAAGCGGAACTAAAGAGAACAGGAACAGAACCCTTGTTTATGGCGTGAGAGCTGAAACGGGAGGCAGGGCGCTGCCCAGCTCAGACTCGGCAGGACAGGGGCTTCGGGCGACTCACGTTTTCACCGTTCTGCTGCGCATGTGCACAGCTGACCAAGAAAGAGCTGCGAGCGTGGGTTTGGGGAATACAAATAAGTTTCAGCAAGTGGGTAAATTGCAAACATGGAAACTGCAAATACGGGGGATCAACTCTATCTCTATTTTGATCAGTTGAGCTAATTGTATTTCTTTTTTTTTTTTACAGATAAATTAAGGCACAGATATCTACTTATAGCCACGGTCGCAGTAGTACTAGTAGCCATATCCGGATTTGTATGCTGTATGTATACTTTTCTTTAAAAATTTTCAAACTTGAATTGGTATTTCAAAGGCTAGAAAAGGAAGAGTTCAAAGTTGAAAACAAAGTTTGAAATTTTAGGCATTTTGAAAGAAACAGAAGCGTTCGTTTTACTTGTCTGGGTCGTTGAGTGTGCCGGGTTCCTCCAAGTCCTGCTTTGTTTTGAGGTGGATTGGATCCTCCGGCTGCGGTGAGCTTTCCAGGCAGGGGCACGGCCGGGTGTTCCTGGGGCCTGCTCCACGGCCTCCTGCTGTCTGTGGTCCTCTTCAACATATAGTTATACTTCTGGGCTTCAAGTTCGATTTTGCAGAAGACCCCTTGCTCTCGGCTGCTGTAGTTATAATGTCCACGTCGTATAGCCTAGGAGGGCCCAGGTAGGGAGGAGTTTTTGTGGAGCTGGGTGACTTGGAGTAGGTAGTAGTGATTGGGTATTACTTCCTGAGCCTTCCTTAGTCCCCCAGAGATCCCCGGCCAACCTAGAAAGCAGCTCATATGGAGCTGGTGACCAGACAAGCAGCCCTTTCTCAAGTCCCGAAGGACACTGACCAGACGGGAACAGATGTTCTTGCAGCTCCGTCAGTTTCCATGGCAGCCTTCACCAGAAGGGTGTGTGCAAGACTAGTCTGCCCCTCCCACGGGGAGTGCGAAAGGGGGAGCCTTCTGCAAGGCGACGGCCCGTAGGGCCCATGTCATCTCACACACACGCTTCAAACCAAGTCCGCAAACGGGGTTTCCATTTTCCGAGACCTGCACTGTTCAGGAAGTGGGCACTACCCATGTGTAGTGATTGACATATAATATTTAATTACCTAAAAATAGATGAAATTTAAATTTAGTTCTTCAGTCGCGATAGCCACATTTCAAGTTCTCAGTAACCGCCCACGGTTAGTGGCTACCAGTTTTATTTTTACTGATATTTTTTTAAATATTATTTTTATTTTTATTTATTGATTTGAGAGAGAAACATTGATTTGTTGTTCCGCTTATTTATGCACTCATTGGTTGATTCTTGCATGTGCCCTGACTGGGGATCAAACTCGCAACCTTGGTGTGTCAGGCCGACACTCTAACTAACTGAGCTAGCTAGCCAGGGCCTGGCTGCCGTTTTGAATAGCCTAGAAGAAAACAACTCCTGCATTGCAGCAAGTTCTGCTGGTCAGTGCCGACCTAGACTGTGTGGGGATATTGGCACTAGGATATGATTTCCCAAGGGCACTGTTTACATATTACAGGTTGCAAATACCACGAAGACCCCTACATAAGAGATTATCAGTTAATTGACTCACCTCTAAACAAGTTATAAAAAATCAGCTGAAGAAAGTTTTAAGGCATCATTACCAATGAGTAAAATTTGGATCTCAAGTGTTCCTTTTTTTAAAAAAGTTATTTTTAATTCCCAAATAGTGGGTATTACAGATAGTCATTGCCTGAACAGATTGGTCCCCAGGAATCAAAGTCCTTTTTCACTCAGTGAGTGCTGTTAGGGGTCTTTCACCAGAAGACCCGAACCAAAGGAAGGTGCCACACTGTGTACCCAAACTCTGTGACAACTGGTAGATTTAACTTAAAAAAAAGTTCATTTAACGGAAAGGAAATTACTCCAGTTGTCAGTACTGCTAGCACCATATAACTTGAAAAAATTTGTTCTAAAAAATAATTTCTTTGGCAAAAATCTCCACTCTAAAGCCATTCATTGGGAAATGGCGAGGTGCTTGGCCTGTCTGGAGCTTTTGGAAGGAGAGGTGAACGGAAACAGCTCCGGCAGTGACAAACACCGTTTGGTGCCCAGTCACAACAGCAGGCGAGGCTGCTGGACCACGGGCGTGGCTCTAGGCCAAGGCCGATGCTCTGTGGGAAGGACACCGGTGTGTACACACCTAAGCCTGCGCTGCCCGAGTCAGCAGCCACAAGCCACCTGTGGCTCTTGAGCCCGTGACGTGTGAGAGGCCAAGGTGAGGTGTGCCGTGAGTATAAAATGCAGGCTAGATTTGTAAGACTTAGGATAGGAAAAGGACTGTGAAGTATCTCATTAGTAATGTCTGCATTGATTACACATTGAAATGAAAATATTTTTATACATTGGGCTAATAAATGGAATATATTATGAAAATTGATTTTACTGATTTATTTTTACTCTGTCATGTGGCTACAGAAATTTTTCTAATACTTGTGTGGCTCACATTATACTTCCGGTGTGCAGCGTTTATCCCAACCATTCTAGTCTTGCCTTCATCTTTAGCCTTTGCCCAAGCTGCTCTAGAAATAACCATTTTCTCAGCAGTTTTCATTTTTCTCTCATCTGATGACTAATTTTTGAACAACTCTCTGTAGCCGATTTCATGTAAGCATTCAGGAGAGTTAGGAATGCCAGCTCGACAGGGCTCTGGTTTTAGGTCACTAAAACCAGATTCAGGTCACTAAAAGGCAGTTAGTAATTCCAGGTTTATGCATCTGCTTCCCGTTCTGTAACTGAGGTGAATATTTCTTCATTCGTAGGTTGTTGGAAACCAAGCAGAAGAGGAGAAGCAACCATGTAAGTACCCTGTGGACTGTGCAGTGGGTAAACTGTGCGTCGGGTTCTAGAACCGGAACAGCCTGGAGGTCACGGTGCCTGCCACCTGGGGGGGGAGCCAGATTCCACGGATCTGCCAGTAGATCTGACATCAGCAGACACACTGACGGCAGCTCATTAAGCACCGCCCACATGCCCTGCCCAGTGCTGGCCACTTCCCGCACCTCATCGAGCCCTCCCAGTGAGCCTTGCACGGGGTGTCAGTGCCATGTGCTCCAGATGCTGAGTGTGACCCTCAGAGGAGTCAAGTCCCGTTGTTAGTAAGTGGTGGAGCCAAGATGCAAATCTAGGTCTTCAGACTCCAAGGGTTGCACCGCTCACCGGCACAGTGCCCCTCCTCCCATCCCAGAACATTGGCCCGAGGACAGAGTTCTCCTCAGGAGCCTGGGCCAGAGCTGGGCCTGTGTCGCCAACGAAAGATAGAACACCCACATAATTAGCAGTGACAGTGTCGTTAGTAAACTGCCATAAGGAGGCTCCCTAAGGCCCCTCGTGATAGATCCCACTGGTGGCAGGAGGCAGGGGCCCGTGAGCTGTGCTTTGACGGGTGCAGGGAAGAGACAGGGCCCGGGGCTGCAGAAGGCAGGGTAGGAAGGGGCGAGTCGTCCTCTTTTGGGTGGCAGATGGCGGGGCGGGGGTGACAGGGAGATGGGGCTGGACCTGCAGGTCGGGCCAGACCAAGACGTGCAGAGTGGCTGAGCGTTTTGGGCCTTCTCTTCAGGGGAGCGACTGCAGAGTTTTGAGCAGAACTTCCCTGTAGAAAGAGCTCTCTGCTAGCAAAGGTCAGGGTGACTTAATTAGCAGGGAAGTGGCCAGAGGCGCGGACACCGGGGAGTGGATAAATGGAGTAATCCGGCCAAGCACAGAGGACCTGAATCAGGGGTCCGTGGCGGAAATGAAGATGGAGGGCTGGGTTCGTGAGGACGTGTGGAGATCGTATGAACACCAGAAGTTCGGCGGGGAGTGCAGCTCTGGCCCCGCAGTCCTGGGTGTGCATGCCAGCTGCGTCTCTCCCGGGTCCCAGACTAGTCGCTTGCCCTCTCTGTGCCTTGGTTGTCTTCCGTGGAAAATGGGTGTCACAGTAGTACAGACGTGACAAGGACAGCACCCGTAACAATAGCATAGAAACAGCAGAAACAAGTTCATGTAAGTAAAATGCTTCGAATAGTGACTGGCACATACTGCTGCTTAATACATGTCCGCTGCCAGGATCATTCATATTCTGCAAGAAAGAAGCCAAAGGTGGCAGGATTTCTGACCTCTGGTGCCCAGGAGACAGTGGCACCACCCGGCACAGCCGAGCAGTCAGACAGGGCTCCTCTGTGGGAGGAAAGATGATGAATTTGGGCCTTGACAGGTTGAGTTCGGGGTGCGGGCACGTTACTTGAGTGGCTATCCTCAGCAGGTAGTCGGAGGAGGGGCTGTGGGGCTGGGGCTGGAGTTGCAGGTTGGGGGGCATCTTGATCAGGACAGTAGCCGATGTCCTGAGCACCTGTGGTCACCAGGGAGGAGAAGCGGGAGGTCCTGGGGTGAGGGGCAGTGGGGGTCAGGTGGGCGCAGTCCACCCTGCGAGAGATCTCGGGCGAGGGGCTCCGTGTTAAAGCTGCAGAGAGGCAGAGGAGGAAGACAGGCAGGCGAGACCTTTGACTTCGGCGAGTTGCTGGTTTTCAAGCAAGCCTTTGCGTGAGTGGTTGGCGTGGGGCTGCGGGAAGGCCGGCTGTGCCGCCGTTTGGGTGAGGTCGGACCAACGGATGGACTACACGGCTTCCTTTGTCCCCAGCTGTGGTGTGGGACAGTGACCAGCTGACCCCAGAAGTCCACTGTGGCAGAAGGCTGGGGGCAGGGATTCCAGGGGACGGCTCAGCTAGCCGTGGGGCACAGGCTGGGCAGGGCAGTGAGGCCTCAAGGAGCCGATGGGCCGGGGGCCACACGGAGAGGGGCTGGAGGGGAGTCTGAGAGCTCAGGCGCACTGTGGGGAGGAGCGGGTGCGCCGGCCGAGAGGCGGGGCATTTCGGATGAGTGCCAGGGGAGGCTGGGGTCCAAGCCTGCCCCTGCTGGGATCCCGCTGGGGGCAGCGGAGGCTTGGCCATCGTGACCTATGGCAATGCAGGTCACGCAGGGGAGGGTTGGTATCCGGGGCCACCGAGAGGGGTGATGGAGGTGAGAGAGGTATATTCCAGAACTTCCTCTTCACGGGCTCTTTTACCTTTTCCACAAACCCGTGTGGAGATTCCCTGATGGCAGGCGCCGTGTCGGTGGGACCCCGACAAAGCACGTGTTAGGGCCCCTGCCGTCGAGAAGCCGTGGTCACACCGGGGAGAAGGGATGAGTGCTGACAATGCAGAAGAACTTAGGCGAGCAGCACGCACGGTGACGGGCCAGCATGTCGGCCCCCAGTAAGGGGAGGTGAGGACAGTGAAGGGGGAGACTCGAGCTGGATCTCCAAAGCCAGAGCAGCGTGGACGGGGCTCCAGCGGGGAGAGGCAGCCGGGGCAGAGGTCGGAGGGGCACCGACCTGGCCGTTGGCTGGAAAAGTGGCAGCAGAGACTGAATATTTGCAGGGAAATCTTCAGGTGTCGGGCCCCTGAGGGGACGGACGTGGGCACAGGGAGCCCGGGCAGCTTCCTGAGCAGGAGGGGTTTGCGTGCAAACACTGGGGGGGTCACGAGTCCAGGAGGGTAGAGCCGACACCTCGGGGCGACATCCTGGGGAAACCTGGGTGGCTTGGGGCTGCCGTGGGAGAGGGGCTCAGTTTCTCAGTATAGTTTTGTGTACTTGGCATACTATTCCAGTTTTGCACTTTGTGTGTTCCCTGTCTATCTGATAATTTTTAAATTTAAAGAACCCACCGTGGCTTCAGGGGGCGTGCCCTAAACTCCCTTAGGAAAGCGTTCCATGCATGACGGAAGGGCAGGGATTTAGGGGAAGAGTCAGGGAGGGGATAAGTGTGACCAGGAGCAAATGCAGACTCGCCACCTCTCCTTGGGGACCGTGTCAGGGAGATCGAAGCGCAGCTGGACACACCTGAGGACAGTCGAGGAGAGATCAGGTGTCTGAGGGAGCGGGGACGCGGCAGTGCAGGCCTCACCCAGGCAGTAGTTGAGGCCGTTGCCGTCGCCGGGAGTGCTGGTGTTCTCCGTTTGTGGTGCATGTCTGGGAAACAGAGCGAAATCCGTCAGATTAAAAGGGCAGCAGAGTCGCCCCTTTCTCTGGGAGGGCAGATGGGTGGGCGGCATCTCCCCCCTGCCCCTGCAGGTGAGCTGGCAATGCAGGCCTGGTTCTTTGGCAGGGGCTAAAACAGGCAGTGTGGGGTGGGCGGGGAGACCCCTGGGGAGAGGGCAGGGAGTGGGGAGCTGGAGGGCGGGGCGGGGGAGTGGGGGGCGCGAGCGTTACAAGGAGCTGCTCTCAGGGAGCCCTGGGCTGGCCAGAGCGAGCTTGAGAAGGGCCGCCCCGCATCCCCCTCGGAAATCCCAGCGCACGTTTCCTTGTTCCGTGAGGCTCCGACTAAGGGAAGCTCCAATTTCTCTTCCTTTCCCTAACCCTCGACCACAGCCGGAATTTTTATAAAGGCCGGTTCTGGAGCCCCGACGTTTTGGGAACTCTGGGCTGGTCCGGGCTGGTCCGTGGATGTCCAGACTGCGGAGCAGGCAAAAAGCAGAAAAGTGGCAGGTGGAGGGGCGTGCTCGGGGCGGGGGAGGGGGCACTTCCTCTGAGCTAACCCAGGGGCGTCTGTCTCACCACAGAGGTGACAGAGGAGAAGTCAAGGTGGCAAGGCAGCCACCCGGGAGAGTCGAGTGGAAAAGAAGGAAATACACGTTGGAAGGGGCAGCAGTGTCCGTGTGGCCTTCCTGGCTTGTCTCAGCTCTGCTGGGCAGAGACTTCTGTTCCGCTCCAAGGCTGAGTCGGGGGAGGAGACAGGTTGTTCGTTGGTTAGTGCCACGCTGCTGAAGGTGGCTCTCCAGCTACCATGCGGCCTCCAGACCAGTCTCCCTCCAGCTCTGCTCCCTAGCACCCTTGCCGCTGATGGATGTATCACAAAGGGCCACTCACATTTGAATGGGAGGGTAATCGTGACTCTTGACCTGCAACACCCACTGACTGCCTTTTACTGGGTACTAATGGGGACATTTTTTTCTTGCAGCTCCAGTTGACAGCTCCTAGAAGATGACATCAGACTTTCGATCACCATGGCTTTGAAAGCCATGTGGCTTACCATCATTTATTTTTATACCATATTTTTTAAAATAGCGATGGACTCTGCAGAAAGACCCCCCCTCAAATCTCTTTCTCTCTCACATTCTCTCCCTCTCTTTTTTCCCAGACTGCCTCTCTTTTGAAAATTTATGTTATGCTTTGGCCATTGTTGGTTGGAATGTCATCCCAAAGGCTGCAGGTTTGACTCCTAGTCAGGGTACATACCCAGCTTGTACGTCAGTCCATGTGGTCGGGGTGCGTATGAGAGCCAACCAGGTGACGCTTCTGACATCGATGTTTCTCTCTCTTTCCATTCCTCTCTCTCTAAAAGTAATGAAAACACATCCCCTTAGGGGAGGACTTTTAAAACTTTATTGTATTACTTTTTATTTATTGATTTTAGCGAGAGACAGGAAGGTGAGAGAAAAAGAACCGCTGTTTGTCATTTCACTTATTTATACACTCATTGCTGGCTGCTGTGTTCCCCTGGGGGGGCGGTGTGGGAGAGCGGCCCACAGCCTGGGCGTGTGGGGTGGTGCTGCAGCCGACGGACCTGCCTGCGCAGCGCTGCTGCTGCTGCTCCTGTGTCGTGTCCCACGGAACTTCGGGAATGTGACTTGAAACCCACCAAACGTGTATTAGTTGCTCCATCGCCTGCGTACTTTATAACAAAATGTAAATAAATGTAAATATGTACATAAACAATGAGGTGGCTCGGCTCTTTTTTCCTCTTGAGGTGAAAATTAAAATTGTCACCTCCCTCAGGAGGTAAATGCTTTTCGCTGAAATCTATACCCCACTTGTCTTTTGTTTTAGAGGAAAAATAACTCATAGTGGGATCGGTGGTGGAGAGAAGGAGAGAGACAAAGCCCTTTCGCCCGTGGGTGTGTGGATGCTGACGGGAGGGAGGTCTGGGGGAGTCTTCTGTTTCCCGCAAAGACGCCCGGCACCCACCCTCCAAATGCAGGCTAGGACCTCGGTGGGGCAGGGAGATTCGTGTCTTTAACATCTCTCACCCATTTAGGGCGTTGTGTGCATGGTCATGCTGACAGGTGGACAGCAGAGAACTCTTAGAAACCATTCCGTCATACACAAATGCAGAAGGAAGGGGGTAGCCCCGGCTGGCCCCAGCCCCAGCCCCTTCCAGCCATCATATAGCCACCACCGCTGCCCCTGCCCCTTGGCCGCTGGGCCTAGAGGGAGGGAAGGCGTCCGCCCGGGGTTCACTCTGCTTCCAGACCGCCCCTCCGCGTCGGTGCGCGTGCCGCCCCACACCCCCTTCCTCCGTGCGGATTGTAGCCCTCGGTCAGTGTCACTCTGCGGATGCTGCGTTCTTTCCGAGTCAGAGTGTTTCAGAACCTGCGAACACGGTGTCCTGGCACGGCGCCCCCCAGGTTCTTGACTTCCCCTTTCTCACCAGCGGCTGCCCCAGTCCCGCCCCCAGCCTTTGCGGTCTGGACGCCCGCAGCAGCCTCCGCAGTCCCAGGGTCCCCGCCCTGCCGCCTTCCGCGTCACTTCCTCCAGGGCCCCACGGGACCCCCAGCCAGCGACCCCACCCCTGCGCTCTGGCCGGCCTTCACATTCCTTCCCCCCCCCTCCGCCCCCGCTTTGGGTCCTCGTCCTCCCTCCCTGGTATTGCTCCGAGACCTTCACGCTTTCAGCCAAATCCCAACCGTGATTCCAACCGTGATTCCCGTGACCCCCACTGCTTCCCCCGCAAACTGCTCAGCACCCCTGGGGGAAAGGCCCCGCGGACTCGCAGTTTGACCGCAGATCTCACACGGGTTCCTGGCATTTCTCGGGTGTGCGCATGACGCCCCCCCTGATCCGGGCACCGTCTCCTCATCGCTCTTTTCAGACCTGCAGCCCTGGCCTCCCAGCGCCTCCCCGCGCTTCCCCCGCCACTGACGACAGAAACGTTCAGAGAGCCCGCGGGCCTCCCCTGTTCACACCGGGCTGCACCGGCCCGCGTGCTCGCCCCCCCCATCCCCCGCCGGCCACCCCCCCATCCCCCGCCCGCAGGCTCCTGTGACTGCAGACGGATTCTTGCCTCTCCTAAAGCCAGTCTCTCTGCTTTTCTTATTTTCTTTGTCTGCTGGGGCTAGCAGAAACCACAGACTGGGTGGCTTAAAGAGCTGTTATTATTATTATTATTATTATTATTATTATTATTATTATTATTATTTATTATTATTATTACTATTGCACAGCCCTGGAGGCTGGGGCGTCTAAGATCAGGGTTCCACGCGGTCTGGTTCTTGCTGAGGGCCTCTCCCCTGCCGGGCAGGGCGGGGCGGGGGCTCTGGTGTCTCTCTCTCCCCTGACCGGACGGCTGCTGTTCCTGCGGGTTCGGTCCCCACCCTTACGACCTCATTTAACTCTTTCGCGTCCCTCAGGCTCTGTCTCCAAACGCAGTCACACGCGAGGGGGAGGGCTGCAACCCACGGCTTCAGGGGACAGACGTCCCGTCTCTGGCACTGCGATGCTTAGCGGAGGCCACCGCCGCCTCCCGCTGACTCGGGGACGTCAGCCAGCTGTCCACCTCTCTCCTCCACCGTCAGCTTCAGCCTCGCCGCTGCGTCCTCCGAACGTCACCTCTCGTGTCGCTGAAACCCCAGGAGACTTCGGGGCCCACCCCCCACCCCCACCCCCCACCCCCACCCCCCGTCCAGGTCCTCTCTCACTGCTCTGTCGTCTTCCACGGGAGACTCCTGGAGGGGCGCTCTGTCCTTCCTTTGTCTGACCACTCTCCCGCATTCTTTCTAGAACCCACCGAGTCAGGTTTTCAGCCCCACTGCTTGTCCCGGCGGCCGGCGGTCCCCTGGCCCTGGGGTCCCGCGGTGGGTTCTCAGCCCCGTCTTCCTCCGCCGTCGTCGGCAGCATGAGCCGCCCGGCCGTGCCTCCCGGGTGCCTGTGCTCGCGGGTGCTAGGCCCCGCGGGGCGCGTGAGCCGGAGGAAGCTCTCGGTGAGACCGGACAGCGCACCCGTGAGCGCGGGGGGCCAGGGCGCGAAGCCCGACCAGAAGGGCCACGGAATTGCAGCCACGGGGCCAGCAGTGCCACGCCTTGGCGCTGATCCCGGAGATGCAAACATATGTCCACACAAGACCTGTGCGTGGGTGTTCGCTGCCCTCCACAGAGACCCCACACGAAGGGTGTACAGAAGGCTGGGTGGGAGTGAACTCCCCAGGATAGTCTTTTAACATAATTATTGGGGTGACTTGGTTAATAAAGTCATATAGGTTTCAGGTGCACAGTTCTATAACACACCATCTGTGTGTTGTACTGTGTGCTCACCGCCCCCAGTCAGGCCCCCTCCCAGCACCATTTACCCCCTGTGCTCCCTGCGGCCTCCCCCCCCACCCCCCAAATTCGTCTCACTCTCCGCGAGAGCACCATGGCTCTGAGCCAAGCTGGTGCTGAGGGGCTGGGCACGGGTGGGGTCCCGGGCAGCAGAAATGTTTCAGACACACGCACAGGGCCGGCGGAAGGGAGGCTGCTGGAGTGTGGCCGCAGGGCCACGGTGCGGGTGTCATAACTTGTAGTTTAAATTTCACCTAACATTTCACCTGACACGTCACATGGTGTGCTTGAGTGTGAGAGTGCTACGTTACAGAATTACCTGCTGATGACTCTGTAATAAAGAGTTTGTAATAAAAAGGGGTGTTATTTGGGCCGGACCCCGTATAATTAGAATTTTCATCTTTCACCTACTTGAACAGATTCACATTAATGTATAAATGTTATTAGGTCATACACATTGTTTCCATTTTTAAAAAATCTTTTTTTTAAGATTTTATTTATTTATTTATTTATTAGAGAGGGAAGGGAGGGAGAGAGAGAGAGAGAGAGAAACATCAATGTGCGGTTGCTGGGGGTCATGGCCTGCAACCCAGGCACGTACCCTGGCTGGGAATCGAACCTGCGACACTTTGGTTCACAGCCCGTGCTCAATCCACTGAGCTACGCCAGTCAGGGTTACATTGTTTCCATTCTAATGCAGTCCTCCCCCTCTTCTGACTGGGTCCTCCCCCATGTTCTCCCATCCCCCACCATGTTACTGTCCGTGCCCCCAAACCCTGAGGACAGCTGAGTCTGGATCTTGCTGCATCTTCACACAGTTGGGGGTGGGGGGGGCAAGGGTGGTGTTACTTCTTTTTAAAAATGGGGTACGTTTATACCCAATATCCTTCACTTGCTTTCCCTCACCAATTATCCATGGTAAGCCCTATGACACAGTGCCGTTTTATTCTTTCTAATGGCTTTTTAATTCCCTAGCATGTCAATATAGGCAACCACTCCCCTTTGGAAGGACATTAGCTTTGTTTCAGGGGCTTGTTTTTCTACCATAGGCAAGAATTCATTATCCATTCTTGTCATTCTAATATTTTTCTGCTATTTTTGTTTCTGTGGGGTAGGTTCCTAGGAGTGGAACTGTTGGGTCAAAAGGCACATGTATTTTTAACTTGAATTTGAATAGATGCTGCCAGATTGCTTTTCCAAATGCTGAGCCGTCCAAGATTAACTACTTGTGTTCCCACCAGCAAGAGGTGTTACCAGCCTTTTTTTTTTAAGTGTATTTTATCAATGAGGCTATTTCAGTTGTCCATTTTTTTTCTCCCTTTTATCCCCCTCTGCCCCACACCCCCTCCCACCAGCATTCTCCCCCAACCTGTAGTTCATGTCCATGAGTCGTACATATAAGTTCTTTAGCTTCTCCATCTCCTACACTATTCTTAACCTCCCTCTGTCCATTTTGTACCTGCTATTTATACTTTTTATTTCATGTATCTTTTCCCCCATTCTCCCCCTCCCCCTCTCCACTGATAACCCTCCTTGGGATCTCCATTTCTGTTATATTGTTCCTGTTCTAGTTGTTTGCTTAGTTTGTTTTATTTTGTTTTGGTTTTTTTAGGTTCGGTTGTTGATAGTTGTGAGTTTGTTGTCATTTTATTGTTCACATTTTTTATCATATTCTTTTTGTTACATAAGTCCCTTTAACATTTCATATAATAAGGGCTGGGAGATGATGAACTCCTTTAATTTGACCTTATCTGGGAAGCACTTTATCTGCCCTTCCATTCTAAGTGATAGCTTTGCTGGATAAAGTAATCTTGGATGCAGGTCCTTGCCTTTCATGACTTTGAATACTTCTTTCCAGCCCCTTCTTGCCTGCAAGGTTTCTTCTGAGAAATCAGCTGATAGTCTTATGGGCACTCTTTGTAGGTAACTGTCTCCTTTCCTCTTGATGCTTTTAAGATTCTCTCCTTATCTTTCATGTTGGGTAATGCAATTATGATGTGCCTTGGTGTGTGCTTCCTTAGGTCCAACTTCTTTGAGACTCTCTGAGCTTCCTGGACTTCCTGGAAGTCTATTTCCTTTGCCAGATTGGGGAAGTTCTCCTTATTTGTTCAAATAAGCTTTCAATTTCTTCCTCTCCCTCTTCTCCTTCTGGCACCCCTATGATTTGGTTGTTGGAATGTTTAAAGATGTCCCAAAGGTTCCTAAGCCTCTCCTCATTTTTTTGAATTCTTGTTTTTTCATTCTGTTCCGGTCAAATGTTTATTTCCTCCTTATGCTCCAAATTGTTGATTTGAGTCCTGGTTTCCTTCCCTTCACTGTTGGTTCCCTGCATGTATTTTTTTAGTTCACTTTGCACAACCTTCACTTCTTCCTCTGTACTCATCCATTTCTGTGAGCGTC